GCCAAGAAGAGAGGTTAACAAGAATCAACGTCGTCATCAACTAGGGAGGAGCGTGTTCAATATTAAACAATGATTTGTGAAATGATATTCAAAAGAGTGAAGAACTTTTGATAATTCATTGCTTGTTTGAAAGCAATTCCCAAAAACTATAAAGGGTATATGAGCATTCTAAAATTTATATATGTACCAAAGTTCAGTTCACTGTGAAAACAAACATTAAGTTCTCTCCATTTTTCTTATCAGCTATCAATTGCACGTCCTTGACGGTAGACCCAGGAGGTCCACTGCGTATGAGCAGTTGTGATAATCATTATGGAGCAAAATGTAACTTCTCTTGTACAATTGGCTATCGTTTGAATGGCACATCAACGGTCACGTGTGTTGCCCCAGGCAACCAACATCCTGGAGTGTGGAACAATACAGTGCCCAGATGTGAAGGTAAACTCGAAAAGTAAACAACTTATAGACTGAAACGAATTTACCCAACACAGTTATGTAGATGCGTTTTCATGATAGAGGTCACACAACTCCCCATTGGAAAGGAAACCCTTTTCATTATTGAATCAATACGAAGTTTTATAAACTTTTGTATTACATTTAAAGCTCAATAATATTTCTTACTACAGTGATCACGTGTCCAGCGCTGCCTGCACCGTCCAATGGTACAAGACTTGGATGTCCATCGAATGCAACTATGTATTATGATACTGTCTGTCAGTTCTCGTGTAATGATGGCTATACAGGGTCTGGGTCTCAAGTAAGGAGATGTGAACACAATGGAACTTGGAGTGGACGAGATTTCACTTGTCAAAGTATGTAAAACATTTTCCAATAAAGATCTAAGTAATGATTACAGCTCCTGATTATCGGTGATAAGACAAAAACAACAGATATCATTAGTTTATGGACCGAATATGAGCAAAAAGCTCTTAACTAGTAGCTTTGGTAGCAAAATCTCGAGACATGGGAAGGTTACAGCGATCACTTCATTATGCTGTGGCTTGTGCGTTTTTAACGTTATATTCACAAAACGAGCTTACGTTGTCTGAAAGTACGCTTTACGTCTGGATGCGTGTGTTTCCAAAGGGTTCTTTTCACAGTCAATTAAGGGAATTCATCATAATCAACTGTTTATTTACCAGGAGTGATTGGTATCCATATTCTCAATATATTAGCAATGCGCTGCCAAGAAGAGAGCTGGACGAGAATCAACGTCATCATCAACTAGGGAGAGCCTGTTCAATATTACTTAATGATTTGTAAAATGATAGTTAAAAGTGTGAACACAAATAATAATTCATTGCTTGTTGAAAAGCAATTCCCCAAAACTATTAAGGGTATATGAGCATTCTGAAATTTATATATGTACGACAGTTCAGTTTACTGTGAAAACAAACGTTAAATTCTCCTTATCAGTTATCAACTGCACGTCCCTGACAGTAGATCCAGGAGGTCCAGTGCGCATGAGCAGCTGTTATAATCATTATGGAGCACAATGTATCTTTTCTTGCGCAATTGGCTATCGTTTGAATGGCTCGTCAACGGTCACGTGCGTTGCCCCTGCCAACCAACATCCTGGAGTATGGAACAATACGATACCCAGATGTGAAGGTAAACTCNTCGCAATGTTGCCCGCTCATGGCACTTTGCGGGAAACAGTTTCATTGTTAGATGTCATGTGACCATGAACTAGCCAATGAATGGGCCCACTGTAGCGGGAAAAATATAACAAATATCTTTACATAAAAGTTGCCACGCGACTGCACATTTAAAAAGAAGGCTTTATCATTATTGACCCAATGCGAGACTTTTTAAACTTTCGTATTGTAGTTTAACTTGCTTCTTATCCTAATTTCATACTGCAGTGAACAAGTGTCCAGCGCTGCCTGCGCCGTCCAATGGTGCAAGACTTGGATGTCCATGGAATGCAACAATGTATTATGATACTGTCTGTCAGTTCTCGTGTAATGATGGCTATATAGGGTCTGGGTCTCAAGCAAGGAGATGTCAACACAATGGAACTTGGAGTGGACAAGATTTCAGTTGTCAAAGTATGTACTGCAATGAAGATTTTAATAAAGTCTGTAAACGAGCCAGGTGGCCAATGGAACCAGAGCTAATCCTGGTTTCCGTAGTACGAAGCTACTAAAAGTATTTCTACTCCCCCTGGCTGGTATTGTAGTCCATCGCGGGGTTACCCCCAACATTAAGTTCGCCGGTACCCATTTATACACCTGGGTGGAGAGAGGCGCTGTCAGAGTTAAGTGTCTAGCCCAATAACACAATATAGGGTCCCCGGTCTGGGCTCGAGCCTGGACAGCTCGATCCAGTGACCACCGCCCCTTCCACGAAGATTATAATTACCACTTACTACATCATTTCACATTGCAGTGGTCACTTGCCCAGCATTACCTGCACCGTCCAATGGTACAAGACTTGGATGTCCAGGGAATGCAACAATGTATTATGATACTGTCTGTCAGTTCTCGTGTANTATGATACTGTCTGTCAGTTCTCGTGTAATGATGGCTATATAGGGTCTGGGTCTCAAGCAAGGAGATGTCAACACAATGGAACTTGGAGTGGACAAGATTTCACTTGTGAAGGTATGTACAGCTCCTGACCATCGGTGATAGGACAAAAACTGTAGATAAACCTATGAGCAAAAAGCTTGGAAGTAATCTCGGCACAGGAAAAGGTTATTGTGAATAAATTAGTCCACTAATTATAAGTAAGTGGAAGGCTTTTTACGCTGTATCCAAAAACAAGAGCTACCGTCGTCCCCGGGGGGATACTTCCTTATATGGGCTATATAGGTATGTGCGGCCCCAAAGGGTATGGGTTTTCAGCCGTTTTGGTCATAAATAGGGTATCGATTTTAGCTGATTTTAGCCATTTTGGTTATAAATCGGGTATGGATTTTGCACTCTGAGAAGAAGATACTTTTTCGTCGTTATCGAAAAGAAAATCAGCAAAAGCCCATCACAAATTATGTTTACCGTAATTTAGCATTGGTCTGGACAACGGAGCTAATTGTAACGCGGGTTTGAAACAGGGTTTTGATTGAAGGGTCAGGTCATACATAGGGCAGGGAATATCGCAGATTTTGGTCATAAATAGGGTAAGGGTTTTGGGAAGCGGGCCGTACACCCCCGTTCAATTTTTCCAAGTGTGCCCCCTGGCCGTCGTCTAAGAGTGCATCAGTTTGGAGTCTGCATGTTTGAGCGTGCCTAGCCATGTAAATGAGCTGATCAACTCTTTGTTTA